ACAACTTTTTTTTTTTTTTGCAGTACTGAGGCTTGAACTCAGGGCCTACACCTTGAGCCACTCCACCAGTCCTATTTTTGTGAAGGGTTTTCAAGACAGGGTTTTGCAGAACTATTTGCCCAGGCTGGCTTCAAACTGCGATCCTCCTGAAATCTGCCCCTTGAGAAGCTAGAATTATAGGCTTGAGCTACCAGCGTCCAGCTCTGCTCAACAATTCCTGATCTCCCTTATTTATAAACCTTTTTAGCTGCCCATCTATCTTGCTCCTAAGACCACCCATGTTCTATTAGCCATCTCTACTTTGAGCTTGTTACCCTTATAGAAATTCACCCACTTTGTTTCTAAGATTTGTTCCCTTAGTGGAACAAAGGAGTATATTCAGCTTCTGGGTTTTTCAGTGTTATATGAAATTCATGGCATGCCTACTTTCTCTAAGTGTTTTTTGTATGGTCTGCCATCTCCACTTCACTTCATATGAGTCATTGTTTTTCCCAAGCTCCCAAAAGTCATCTCAACACAGCATATTATTACTGCTAGGGGGTCCTGAGAGGATGTTCCAGGGTCACAGGAAAATGACCTTATTATCACAAATTCTGTATGAATTTGATTTTTAGTTCATGAAGTCATCCATTCAATCACAAACTTGTTACCTAATATAAAGAATTTGGAACAAATGGGTACCTCCTATAAACTCTGAGAACAGCAAAAATATTTCACTAACCGTAATTTTTGTAATGGTTATTTGTAGAAAAGGCAGGCTAGAAAAATGCTAGAGATGACTTTATAGTGACACATTCTTGCTGTAGAACAAGTTCTCTAAAGGTGACCCTCACATGGAAGAATATAGAAATATATCAATTTGGCTAGGAACCATAGAGACTAAGAAGTACCCAGAGCACTGTTACTCAAAGATGGTCTGCAGAGTTGTGCTGACTTGTAAAATTTTCTTCATAACCAACTTGTGACGTAAGGATTTAGAAATTTAGAGAACACTACATTTGACCTTGCTGTGATATTCAGTTACATGACCAGTAGACTCAACCTGTTGAACAGGGTCTAGACAGTTTAGGTATTGGCAAACTTGCATGGTGGGTCACTTATAGTGTGAACTGCACACCTTTCATAGATAACAGGACCACATATTGATGAAGAATTAGATGTTTAAAAGAACAACAAAAAAAAAACTGAGCTGGGAACTGGTGGCTCATGCCTGTAATCCTAGCTACTTGGGTGGCTGAGCTTGGGAGGATCACAGTTCAAGGCCAACCTGGGCAAATAGTTCATGAGACATACCCTGCCCCATCTCCAAAATAGCCAGAGCAAAATGAACTGGAAGTGTGGCTCGAGTGGTAGAGTGCCTGCTTTACATGTGTGAAGCCTTGAGTTCAAACCTCAGTCTCAATAAAAACAAACCAACAAAACAAAACAAAAAAAACCTAGTCCTTTACCACACATAATTTGAGAAAGACTGTCCTAGGGTACTGAGCTTTATTCCTCTACATGTCCCAGAGTAATTCTAATAGTGTTTTTGAAGAGATAGTAATGTCAACTTGCTTGTGTTCAATGAAAATGTGTTCCAGAATAAAGCTAAAATGGACCAGGGTATCTTAACATTCCTTGAGTAAACCTTGGTCAGGCCACCAGAAGTGAAAAGTTACAGAAGAAAACTGGTAGAACAGTAAGCAGAGGGTTCAAAGGGCAGGATACTTTTTTTCTTCCCTCATCCTCTCTATTCTTTCCAAGGCCTTGGCTAGAGCTTTAAGGAGACACATTTGGTGTTCAGGCTCCGTAATCATTATAAGTCTGCTTGTACTTTTTCCATCTCTCAAAGAGTAGAGCTTCAGAGCTTTTCCATGCTCTGAAGAAGTATGGTAGCTGTAATTTCCCAAATAGCTTAAGGTCTCAAGAACATTTCCTTCCTTTCAATGCCACCGAATTTGTGAGGTCTTTAAGGAGTAAAAAACTTTAACCCAGGGGAAAATGACACATCAGGAGTACAAAGTGACTCAGATGATGCATGTGAATTTGTTCTGGCATGAATTATTTTCCATGTGAACCAGGACAGTCAGCGGGGCTGACCAAAGTATCTACCAATGTATGATAGCCACAGTCCTTAGATTCATTGAGAAGAGCCAAGGTCAGCTCGAAGATAATTTAGAAAACATATTAACAATATGCTACTAACATTAGTTAAGTTAAAATATAATACCCAGTGAAGGGCTTTTCAGATTGGAATACCCAAGAGGAAATGGGAACAAACAGCTGTCCAGTCTCTTTGCCAGCTGAGGTGCAGACTGAGCTAGGGGACCCACGGGTAATGGTGGAGCCCACCACAACATTACATAGAACTATTTCCTAACATTCCCCACTCTGCAGCTCACAGAAGTTGAGGAAGATCAGAAAAAGACCTGGATGAAATACAGGCCACATTCCTCACTCAGAATATTTATTAGACACTGCCCCATGGAGCCTGCTGGAAAAAGGACCCAGGTTGTATCCCTTTCCCAAGCAGCTTCTTGAACCAAGGATTCTAAAGAAATCAGATGTCTCAAATAAGCCAGAATCTACCTGGAATAGAATGGCCATTCTTTTGCCAGATCAGACAGTATAATTAAGTGTTTGCCAGGGAAGGAAGGAGTAACTAGTAGAATGGTGGCTATACTAGATGAGGGGAAACAGGAAGGGTCTTCCTCTATCACAGCTTAGGTTCAGAAGGTTTAAAAAGAGTGGAGATAAGGTCAGGCATAGGACCAAGGACTCATCCAGATCACATTATAGAAAGAACCAGGGTAGCAACTTGAGTTGTCAGCTGGAACAGGGAGTTGAGAGTTTAGCACCCAGAGAGAGGAAAAGCCCACGGTTTCTCTTCCGACCCTACTGTATTTAGATGCAAAAGCTCTTTCCCTTCAGAGAATTCAGAATGATATGCCTGTGTAAAGGTAAGAGCATATGGTAACAAACCCACAGTCCCAGTTCAGCTAAGTTTCTTCCCATTCCCAGAGGCTCTGCCTAAGAGATCTGCACTCTGCCCCTGCTGCCCAGATCTGATTTCTCAGAATAGAAAGAAACAAGGCACAAAGACCCGGGAGTAAAGATGAACATCAGTGTGGCCATATATAGCATTCTTTTGGAAGAAGGTACATGCCCCAAAAGGAATGCATTCCTTCATCTGGTAGATAGCTGGGCCTTTTCTAGCAGCAGAAACCACAGTGGAGTAGGGCTCACAGAAATGGCCTGTGGAACAGATCCTGTTTCTAGAAGGACAGAGGAAAAGCCTCAGCTGGTATGGCACAGTCTTGAGTGGGATGATGGGGCAGATGGGATGGTGAGCAGAATGCTCCCACAGACGACATTCTTGCCTCAATTCCTAATGGTTTTGCTGACTCCAGATGTTCCTCACGGCTTGCACTCAGGGAGGAAAACGTGTTGTGTTTCACATGATCAGACACTGTTCACCACTGGCACCTGGTGGGCCCGATAGATTGAGGGCATCCAGGTCAAAGTTGAGGCCAGGAGGCTGGAGAAGAGATGAAGGGACTTAGATAAATGCTCATACTTCAGGTCAGAGCTTCTGAAGGACCATCTCCAGCAGTTACAATTATCACGATATGTGGAATCACTAGAGGTTATAGAGCTCTGGAAGTTGGGGGCTAGATTAAAATCCAAATGAAGACATACTCACCATCTCCCCAGCCAGCTCTTTTGGAGGATGGCCCAAATCCTGTAGCTAGAAAATAAAGACAATATAAGATCGGAAAAAAAAAAAAAAATCATAGAAAACAATAAAAGAGGCCAGAAAAATTATGTGATTAGTAATCTTTTAGGTTTCTTCTAACTATGCTATATGGCTTCTCTTGTGATTCCTCCTCCACCCAGATTTGGCAGTGTAGCATCCTTCCCCATATCTTCTCCACTTAACACACAAGTAGACAGTACCAGTAGGAAGATGGCAAGAGGAAGCCTTACCTGCTGCATAAGATCTAGCACCATCTCAAAACGAGCCTTCTGAGTGGCCTCACTATCTGTGGGTGCCTCTGCTTCAAACTGCTCACATATTTTGCCCATGACACTGTGTTGCTCCTGGTATTTTTCAAACTGCTCTGGAGACAGAGATTCCCGGTGACTCTGCAACCATTCTGGATACTAAGGAAAGAGAGAATGGATGGGAAAGAATTAAGTGAACAACAGGTAGTGAAGGGGAAGAACAATACTTGAAACGTGAAGGGAAGAGGGACATAGGAGAAGGCCAGGAATGGTGGCTCATGCTAGTAATCCCAGCTACTTGGAAGGTAGAGATCAGGAGGATTGTGATTTAAGGCTAGCCTAGGCAAAAAGTTAGCAGATTCCATCTGAACAAATAAACACATGCATGTGATCCCAGCTGTACAAGAGGCAATAGGTAGGAGGCTTGAGCTAAGGCTGGCTCCAAGCCAAAACATGAGCTCCTAAATAAATAAAGCAAAAAAGGGCCAGGGGTATGGCTCAAGTGGCTGAGCAGCTGACTAGCCAGAGTGAGGCCCTGAGTTTAAGCTCCACTACCACCAATAAAAAAGAGAGACAAAGGAGAAAGAAAAGCTAAATAAGCAAATACAACATGAGAAGTAGCACTGACTCCAACAGATCATCTAGCTATACTAGCATTTATGATCACTAGTGACTGGCAAACTATTTCTATAAAAGGTCAGCTAGAAAATATTTTAGGATTTGAAGGCCATTTGCATGTTCCTCTTTCTTTGTTGTTGTTAAACCTTAAAAATGTAAAAAATATTCTTAGTTTGAGAGTTGGACTTAGACCATACAATGCTGGTCTGCTGACTCCTGGTCCATAATAAGGATTTCACACTTAGCCATGTTTCACTGTGTCACTGAAAAGTTTCAATTCCTACATTTTACCTCTACAATAAAACTATAAATTCATTGATGGCAGGGACTATTATTTAAATTACTCTTAAATTTTTTATAACATGGAGAAATGAAGTCAGAAATATAAGGGTTGGAAGGCTGATGGGAAAGACTGCGGTTTGAGGCCAGCCTTGAGAGATGGCAGGGAGTTCATGAAATCTGATTTCAACCAATAGCCGGGCGTCTGTTATCCCAAGCTACCTGGGAGGTTGAGGTCAGGACGATTATGGTTACAATGCAGCCCAGGCAAAAAAGTTTATGAGATTCCATCTCAGTGAGAAAAAGCTGGGTGTGGTGATACATGCTACAGAGGGAAGCATAAAATAGGAGGATCACAGTCCAGGCTGGCCGGGGCAAAAGTGAGATCTTATCTCTAAAAGAATCACAGCAGAAAGGATTGGAGGTGTAGCTCAAGCGGTACAGCGCCTGCTTAGCAAGTGCGAAACCCTGAGTTCAAACACCAGTACCACCAGAAAAAAAAAGGTAATCTAAGAAGGGGTTGATAACCCCATAATTCTTAAACCAATTTATGGAAATTAGAACTGAAGGATTTCCCCTTCTACCCCAGACATTCTCAGTGTGGTGGCTTTCTTCACTCAAAGACACGACTTCCCCTACCCCCAACAAATAAGCAAAGGAGATGAAAAAAGACAGACTTGTACACTCAAGTTACTCTGCAGGCTTTGAGCAAAGTGGGCCATATAAGTTGATATGGAGAGTGAGGAGAAAAGGCAGAAATAGAAATTTACAAACCTTTTCTGTGATCTCCTTCAGTGATGGATACAGCACATCCTTGGACAGTAGGTTCTGCATGATACTCTGCATGATGGGGAGGATGTTCCCTTCCCCATCCCCTTCTTCCATGCCCAGCCCCTCCATGGCTTTGGTTAGTTCCTCTTCTGACATGCCTGAGTTCTAGATAACATAAGAGAGATGTGAGGGCTCGTAGAGTGGCTCAAGTGGTAGAGCGTCTGCCTAGCAAGCCTGAGGCCCTGAGTTCAAAGCCCAGTACTGGAAAAAAAAAAAAAAAAGAGAGAGAGAGAGAGAGAGATGTGAACAGGTATACTGCCTTCCTGGGATGCTTACTACCCTTTCAGGTGGGAAAGAAGAACTATCTAAGTGTTTCTATAACAAAACAGTAGGCAGGGACAGATCTGGGAAGATACCCAAGAGTATCTGCTTTTTGAGATTGTTGGTGAAGTGTCTGGGATAAGCCCCTTGTCGTCCATTATCCCTACCCCTTACCTGAAGGTCAGTGGCATTTTTGGCTAGACCACTTAATGTCTCCTTTAGGCAAGAAGTGAATTCTTGTTGGGAGGTTGCATCACTGCCTAGAAGAGAGCAAAAGAACCAGGATTATTTAGGATTTGAACTGTTTGCTTGCCTAGACTGACCTGGTTACCATCTTGGATATGAAGCATTTACTGGTAAATTGCTATCACTTCAAATCTTTGAATAACCTATGGTTATCTTCACAGTCATACCATAAAACTACATGTATTGTATGTCAACTGATTCTCCACAAGACACCTACAATAACATTGTGTCTTTTAAAATAGTTAGTTTGGGATAATGTTTTCTCCTACTTTCCAACTTATCTCACCCCTTTCATTAAGCATGGGTCCCACATCTCCTCCCATTGCCTCACCCCTTCCCCGCCCCATGCCGTGGCTGTGACATCATGATTGCTACCAACTTTACTGAGAAAACTGATATTCTCAAGCAACAAAGACAGAAGGCCTGTCTGGATATTTCCCTTTGCCCAGGGTTTCCTCCTCACCCACTCTCCCAGCAGCCTCTGAGAGCTTTTGGAATTGCTCCACCAGGTGAGGCTCTTCCTCAGCCAACTCCTTCATTGCCTTCTCGAACTCTGCAGTGGCTTGGGAAGCCAGCTCGCTGTCAAATAATTCCTGGAAAAACTTCTCTTGGGAGGCGAAGAGGGCATCCTGTAGGGAATGGGTGACCAAAATGCATCTCTTACAGCACTGTACCATACCTGGCCTCTGATAGAAGCCCAAGCAGTAGCTCTGGGAAATGCAGCACCTCTCATCTACCAAACTCCATTGGACTTTTTATCTACCGTTCTTCATAAGGACAGCAAGAAAGGGATCTGGTCATTGAGGGAAGGATAAGAGGTAGCATACCAATCTAACAGTTTAAGCCTGCTATTTTCTCAAGGAACTTCTTTGAGATCCCTCCACTCAACCTCAGGTCCTCATTTCACAGGACTGAAGTCTGCAAGAGCACTCAGCAATGTGAGGCCAAGGAACCCTCCCACCCTCCCCTCTGGCCCACAGGGGCCTGCCCCACCTCTGCTCACAACTGCATGCCCATTCCCTCCCTCACCCTTAAGGGGGTGGAATTTATACTTTGGCAGTGTCTCCTGGCGATCTCTTCTGGGGCCCTGAAGCATCGGGGGCCGAGGTGGTAGGAGGGGGTGCTGGGGAGGGTTTGGCTTTATCGAAATCATCAAGAGCACCTTCAGAGACAAGAGATATGGTGTGTGTGTTGGGGATAGATGAGGACGCAAGGCTGGGTGATTTCTGGGAAAAACATTAGGAGAATGGTTTTTCAAAGTGCTCTCATCAATTTTTCTCCCTTTTTGGAGTTTCTTCCTCCCACCTCCCTCAAGATTACCTAATTTATTGTGGTCAAATGGGAAGAAATCCTGTAAGGTGGAACAAGTGTCTATCGCAAGAGTTGAGAAAAGGGTAAAAAAAGTTCTACAGAGATATCTCCACATACACTCTAACATTTCCCTAGAAATCCCATTCAAAAATCAACAGGTGCAAAGGACACAGATGTCCTTAAAGGGAATAATTTTTGGCAAAAAAGCACAAGTTTTTCATTGGTCCTGGCACTGCATTCCACAGGAGGGCACTTAACTATCTTACACTGTCCTCCACTTTCTTTCTAACTCAGCAAGCTCCTAGCCAATTCAAGAGTCACGGAATAGTCACTCCTACTTCTGTTCACTTTTTTGCTTCCCCACAATTCTGTGACTGCTCGAGAAATAAGAGTTCACCTCTGTCCTCAAAGTCTGTGTTGTCATCACCACTTAGCTTCTTGCCAAGCCGAGGAAAAGGGCACCGGCCCCTCTCTGGGCAAGAGAGCAGCGTTAAAAGAGTGAAGAATAGGCTAAGAGAGAAAACATCCACCGTCTTTCAGGAGGACGAACTGTCTTCCCCTTGGATCGCCTCATCCTATTTCTCAAAATAATGGAAAAGGAGTCTGCTTGAACCTCTGACCTGAAAGAACTGTCTAAGGGTCTGATAAAAAAAGGGGAAAAGACCAGGAGGAAAAAAGAAGTGTCTTGTGTTAAGGAAAACAGGACGAGGCACAGAAGGGCGCCCTGTGAACCTTAGAGTGTAAAATGTACTCGGTGAGTGTTCGGTTCGTAGCCCGTCAAATGCTGCTACTGGCGCGAGGGGAATTAAGATGTCAAGAATTTACTAATCTAAAGCAAGGAAGTTTGTAGCGGGATTGTGATAACCTACGGGTTATCATTTGCCTCTCTGGCAAGGAAGTTAACGGTCTGGGCCAATCAGGGACCCAAGGTGAACTCCTAGCTCCAGCGGCGGAGAAAGGGATAGGGTGACCCCGAGATTTTCTTTGGGATCGCAGTCAGACCATCTCCCTGCCAACGATTGGAAGGACTCTCCCGCTCCGCCCCAAATATCTTAGCTTCACTTAATCCCCTCTTCACCACTCCCCTCCCCTTCGGCCCTTTCCCACCACCGTCCCTTACTTTCCAGAAGCTCTTCCAATTCCCGGTCCGCTTCAACCCTAACATCACAGCCCTCTTCGGCGGAAGCCATCTTGCTGCCTCCCACTTGCCGTAGGAGGCGGGACTACTGGCGCTCTGCGTGCCCCGCCCCTTGCTGCCGCCCCTCTGCCTTGTGCAGCCAATGAGAGCGTTGACTCATGCGGAGCGGCCATTTTTAAAGGGACAGGAAGCGGTGGGGATTTTGGGTTTTTTTTCCCCTTTGCCTGAAGAAAAGAAGCTGAGGGAGGTGTCCTGCGCTTGTTATTTCAGCATTTGGGAGACTGAGGTAGGAGGATCGTAAGTTCGAGCCCAGCCTGGGCTACAATAGGGAGCCCCAGTTTCAAAACACAAAACACCTATAGAAGTTATGGCTAGCTCAACTCACATTATCCAATATCATTATTTCTTCCTGAATTTTGGATAGGCTAGATTGAAAGAAACTACCTACAAATAACCAGAATCTCTGCATATATAAGATAAGGCAATTATGGTGCACATCATACTGTTTTCTCTCTGGCTTCCTTCAGTATTGCACTTGAACATCACAGCTCCTGAAATGCTTACTTTGGCCTCGCTAAATAAAATTCCAACCCTTATATTCGCCTCCCCAACACACACTATTCTTTTTCTGATACTGAACACTGACACACCACGTATTTATTGTCTGCCTTCCCCACCTTTCCAACACCGAGAATTTAAGCACCGTGAAGAATTTTCGCCCTTGTCTTTATTGCTGTCTCCCCACCTCCTGAACTAGTGCTTAAAACTTAGTAGGTACTCATTGGCCACATTTTTTTTCCTAGCTCTAATCTGACTCATTTCTCAGTGAATCTGGCGGATGGCTCTCATTTCCTATTCTCCAACAGAACACAAGGTCAGGAACTTAGAACTCAATGTTAGACAGGAAAAGTGATTTTGGAACCTTGCACTGAACAAAGGGCAATTAAGATGTAATAGTAGATCTTCTCCCCTGACTTTTCTCCACACAGAACCCAGTATCTGTTGGAATGTGGATGGGGAATGCTCAGATAGAGACAATTCTAAACATCCCTTCCCTCCTTTGGAATTGTTCTATTCAAATCTGTCAGAATGTGGCAACTGTTTCAGACACAAATCTACTTTAACACTTAGAGAGCACAGTGTGCCGGGCACAGTGGAGGACAGAGATAAATCAGTAGTCCCTTCCGTAACAAGCTAAGAGGTCTAGTAGAAGTAGATTTAGATATACATACAATAATAATGGAGTAAAATACTTAAAGGATCTTACTCATCTGAAGATAAGGTTGCTATAAAGTTCAAATGGGAGAAATCACATCTAAATGAAAAAAATCATATTTTAAGTCATTTCATCACTTTTGTCCTCAGCTTCCTAAACACACATTTGAGTACTGCATCAAGCAACAGATTGGGTACTTCCTTCTCAGATAGGGCACACCCTTACATACTTGTGCAAAACCCACTGTTTTCTATTTTTGACAGTCTGTGTAGCCTAGACTGGTCCGGAATTTGCAATTCTCCTGTTTCAGCCTCCTGAGTGCTGAGATCACAGTTATGAACCATTATGACCAACCCACTTCAAAGAACAAGTAGTGTTTTGGGAGAAAGCATTCTGAACTGAGAGTTATAAAACCTAAGTTCCAGTTCCAACCCTGTCAACTAAATCACTTTCTAAGGTCCCTTTCAAAGCTAAACTTCTAATAATTGGTTTTTTTTTTTTTTTTTTTGTGGTACTGGGGCTTGAACTCAGGGCCTCATGCTTGCTAGGCAGGTGTTCTACCACTGGAGCCACTCCACCAGCACCTCTAATAATCTAATCCTTCCCTGATTAACCTTTCTCCAACTCTTGTAACATAATTTATTACAGACTTTCTCATTCAACTCCAAACTGCTTACATGTGTATCTCTAATACAACCAGTTTTATCAAACATGTTAAAATAAAAGCTTGCATATTCACAGGTACCTTTATGGGCTTTAACATTAATGTGGTAATATAAGCATGTTAATAAGGAAAATACTAGCTTGTAATTAAGATGATTAAGACAGACTCAAAAACAAGCATTATTCTTTCTTTGCATTATTTTTTAAACTTGATTCTGCTTTTCTGTTTTGACAACTGGTACCCCTAATATCTCATCCCAGTATTTGCCTCCTGGCTTTTCTTTCTGTCCTTCTAATGTTCAGTTACTACTGTTACAAAAAAAAAAAAAAAAAAGAAAAAAGTATATAAAACAGTACTCATTCATATCACTCTCTTGCTTAATGACTTAATGATTTGCCACTATTTATTGACCAACTTCAGATGCTTGTCTGGTATGCAGATATTTCACATATGTCCATCTTGTTTCCCCAATTATATAAACCTTAAGAGGCAGAGATTGTCAACTTTGTTCATAGTCCTCAGTTCAGAATGTTTATGTGCAAATTTAATTTTGTAATTTATAATTTTACAGGTTTTTTTCATGATGGAGAGGGTGAATCTAAGATAGATTATAAGCATTTATGTAATTGTCACAATGAAATGTACAACTAATATGTGCTAACAAAATGTAGAAACAAAAATAACCAAAACTTCTGCCAAACTGAAGGTTAAAGCGTAAACTACTGGGGGACAGGGAAAAAGACCCAGGTATCATTTTAATTTCACTAAGAAATCCCAGTAAAAAAGTGAAGGAAAAAAAAAAAAAAGAAATCCCAGTGACTTAAATTTTTATGTCTTAATAGAGTAAGACATTAAATCTTCTTTTTTAGGGGTACTGGGATTTGAACTCAGGATCTTGCACTTGCTACATGGGCACTCTACCACTTGAGCCATGTCCCCATTCCAAGACCTTAATGTTTTAACCAACTATTTGATGAAATCTTAACTAAAACCCAGAGAGAATAGGAACCAAGAATCTCATTTAAAATCACCAAGGTCTTTTCCTTTTAATATTGGTGACTGTACAAAAGACCACACATACTACAATTGGATATCCCAATGCAAAAAAAAAAAAAAACCCCGTAAGTTGCACAATATACTAAATATACTAAAACTAGCTAAAAATGAACTCATAGGCTGAGAATGTAGCTCAATGGTACAGCATGTGCTTAGCATGCAAAAGGTTTAGTGTTCAATTCTTAGCATTCAAATAGCAAATAAACAAATAAATAATACATATGTTAAGTTAAAACAATACAACTTCCAGAACAAAGGAAATAATCTTTGTGACCTTGGGTTAAGCAAATTATTTCTTGGGATATGACACAATCATAGAAGAAAAATTAATAGTTGGGCATGGTGGTTCATGCCTAATAACCCCAGCAACTCCACTGGAGCTGGAGATCAGGAGAATTGCAGTTCGAGGCTAATTCAGGCAAAAAGCTAATATTCTCATCCTAACCAATAGCTGGGCATTGTGACACACACCTGTCATCCCAGCTCTACAGTAGGGTTAAATAGGATTGTGGTCCAGATCAGCCCAGGCAAAATGCAACTCTTAAAAAAAAAATAACTAAAGCAGCCAGGCATCAGTGGTTCATGCCTATAATTCTAGTTAAGAGATTGAGATAGGGAGCATCACAATTCAAGATACGCCTGGGCAAACAGTTTGAGATTCCATCTCCAAAATAACCACAGGAAAATGGACTGGAGGTGTGGTTCAAGTAGTATAGAACCTGCAAGAGCAAAGCCCTGAGTTCAAACCCTGGTCCCACAGAAAAACAACAAACCCTAAAAATAGAAAGTCCTATGCTCTTTGAAGCAGGAATTCCACTTGTAGTTTATCCTCAGAACACCATTACCCACCCACACAATATATGTTCAATTTATTTATTGCAGCAACGTTGATAATTGCAAAACACTATAACCCAAATATTCATCAAAAGGCAACTTTATAACTTATAGTAAACCATACAATGTATATAATATGCAGAGAAGTAACAAAGTAAAGCTGTCTAACATACTGATATGGAAGAAAAATCTCTAAAATGTGTTGAATGAAAAAATGATGCACAAAATTGTTAAAACAGTATACTTCCATTTGTGTTTAAAAGGGAAGTGGGGAAGATCATATTTCTATCTGCTCATATATACATAAAATTTCTGGAGGGATATAAGGAAGTTATTAACAGTGTTTTAGGAAAGGTGATAAAAGTGGGTACCTCAGAAAGGGGTGGAAGGAAGACTTGGCACAGTACAGTTTTTAACATTTACTGAACACATTGTTTATAGATGAATATATTGTTTACTGAAAACATGAAATTAAACAGCAAAAAATATACATATTTTAAATCAAAGACATAGTACATTATTCTCCCACTTACTTTTAGTAAATGACAAAAACACTGTATTGCCAATGTAACCAGTTATATGATGTTTTACCTACTAATTAATCTTTTGTGGAATGGGATCTGAACTCAGGGCTTTGCTCTTGAAGGTGTGTTTGAGTTACACCTTCAGTCCGTTTTGCTCTGGTTATTCTGGAGATGGGGTCTAGTGAACTACTTGCCTAGGCTCGCCTCAAACTGCAATCCTCCAGGATCTCAGCCTCCAAAGTAGCTAATATTACAGACATGAGCCACTGGCACCTGGCCATACTAATTAATCTTATATATGTTTATTACATGTAAAATATAATATAGATACATGGTAGATGCTCAACAAATATTGGTTGTAATTAGCAATGGATGGAAGACTGCAGCAAAAAATGGAATGAGAAGCTACTTGCTTTCTACCATTCTCAAAGCAGTTTAGGTCTATGCTTCACATATAACCTATGAAAAATACAGTGTTTTATCCCCCAATAGTATTACCGAATTACTTTGGTAATTATATAATTATTGAAGGAAAGATGTCTGTTTTGGTGGGATTGCTACATGAAGTGAACAGGAATGTGAAAGTGCTCAGGAAATAAATAGCAAGACAAGAAGCTTTTGTAGAAATTTATTTAGTGTGAGAAACAAAGTATGAGAGCAATGGTCTTAAGGGACAAATCAATGAAAAGTTGGTATGCACTGGAGAAAACCAAATGATTTCTTTTTACACCTTTAGTGTCTGGGCACACAGAGGGTACC